TAATATATTTATGTTTAGCAATAACCATTGCAGCCCGAAAGTTCATTATTAGCATCAACCTCCCTTCAAAATGAAGAAACAAATTTGAAATAACTAAAAATATTTCTTCACAACAATCTCTTCTTTTCACCTCTCCTAAATCCTTAATATTTGGAAGTTTGACATTGATCTTCTCCCTTGAAAGAGTTTCTTCTCCTTCCAAGCATTAATCTTTCAAATTATAGAAACTGCAAATGAAGTTATCATTGCGTGAAGCAAAACGAGAAGAGGAAAGCTTCAAGAAAAGTCTTGCTAACCTAAGAAGAAACTTGCAAGACACACACTGTACGGAGATTTCTTACGAAATGACAATAGCAGCTATAAGAAAAGACAAACCCTCACGTTAAGTTTTTGAATTAATTATTATTATTATTATTTTTGAACAGATTGATAAGGGGTGAGTTGAAGCTTAAGGAGAGAGAAGTGCATTGTAAGGCGGTTATTGTCACTTGATCCGAAAGGTTAAGTGTGAATTAATTTTTTTTAAAGTAGGTAAATTATTAAATTTTATGATTTTTACAATTTTATTCTCTTTTTAATAATAGATTACAAAATATAGATAAAGAAAAACATAAAAAAAGAATAGAATTACACACAAATTGTGAAGTTCCAGCGTTTAGCTGCTTTTAAAATAATTTAATGACTTAATTAAAAATATAGGATCAGTTCAAGATGGGTTTGGTTAAGAAAAGCAGGTCATAATTAAGTTAATTGGGTAATCAGCCTGTATGTTAGCATGACTAAAACATGCTTAGCAAAGTCAAGTCATCGTTTTGTTTTAGTTTGCCTTAAAACATGCTTAGCAGAGTCTAGTCATCGTTTTGTTTTAGTTTGCCTTAAAACATGCTTAGCAGAGTCTAGTCATCGTTTTGTTTTAGTTTGCCTTAATACATACTCACTCCTATCCAGGGGCGGAGGCAGAAATTTTTTTTCAAGGGACGAAATATTAAAATTTTTAAAGTTTAAAAGAGACTAAATAATTTTTTATATACTAATTTGTGAGATTTTCAAATTTCAAGAAACGAGCGCCCCCTCGCACCTTCTTGGCTCTGCCACTGCTCCTATCGATTTTAATAAATTTAATTTTTTATTTAATTTTTTATTTAAAGTGTTTATATTTAGTTATTTATTTTATTTTTAAAAATATTATTTAATGTATTTATTTT